AACTATAACAGACAACATCCCCACAATGTTACTACACATAAAGGTAACTATAACAGACAACATCCCCACAATGTTACTACACATAAAGGTAACTGTAACAGATAATATTCCCATAATGTTACTATGCATACAGGCAACAGTTATATAAAACATTCATACAATACTTCTAAAAGTGAAGTTCATTTGTACACAATCTAAGAACCTTTTCAATCTTAAAAGATTATTTGAAGAAATTATTCAAACCTAATTCATCAGCAGTGATATTTTCAATGAGGCGAAACAACCGCTGGATAACATCTGCAATCTGCTTCTCACAGACTCCCTGAAATATAAACAATGATTTTAATCCCATTATCAGGTCTAACGGTGTTTATTTGTCCAAAGAAAGTCAAACAAATAATGTCTCTGAACAGGCAAACAATTTGACATAATTTTTTATCATTTTTGGTTTCAAAGAAAAGCTTTTGCTTAGTTGACAGACAGGGCTAAAGATTGACATGTAGGGCTTAAGATTGACAGGCATGGCTTAATATTGACAGGAAGGGCTTAAGATTGACAAGCAGGGCGTAATATTAACAGGTAGGGCTTCGGATTGACAGGTAGGGCTTAAGATTAACAAGTAGGGCTTTGAATTGACAGATAAGGCTTCAGATTGACAGGTAGGGGTTAAGATTGACATGGCTTAAGATTGACAGTTAGGGCTTCCGATTGACAGGTAGGGCTTAAGATTAACAGGTAGGGCTTCAGATTGACAGGTAGGGCTTAAGATTGACTAGTAGTGCTTCAGATTGACAGACAGGGCTTCAGATTGACAGGTAGGGCTTATGATTGACTGATGGTAGGGCTTAAGATTGACTGGTAGGGCTTAAGATTGCCTGGTAGGGCTTCAGATTGACAGACAGGGCTTAAGATGGACAGGTAGGGCTTAAGATTGACAGGCAGGGCTTAACAAGAGTAACTTCTGTCCAGATGGAAAAACAGACACAAAAATCCTGATTGAAGTATACGTCCATTACTCTGTTGTTCAGGGTATAAAGATAACAAATAGAGACAACACACTGGTTCTTTGTACATAAGACAATAAAGAAGAGTGGGCCTTACATTGACACAGTATCCACGGTAACATGGACGGCCATCAGGTAATTTATGCATTTCTGGTTCCATCTCACACACAGAATTGGTGTCATTTGGCTTTTTACAACATCTATAACAAGCAGACTCTGAAAAAAAATCAAATGACTGAAATCTCCACTAATTACTCGTTACATTTTCCCTCTATCTGCATGATTCACATATGTTTTTTCAATATCTCTGTCTGTTTTATTGAAATGATATTTTTCTATCTCTGTCATTTACATCTAGTATCTCTGATATTTTCTGATTTTTTATTGACATTTATCAAGAAAATTACATGCAAATAAATCAATGCATAAACAAACAGAATTTCAAGTTCTTTGGAACAATGAAACAAAAGGCCCAAAGGGCACTCAATGATTTGAGTTTTATAAAATAGAAACACATTTCAACCTAGCCTGACCTTGAAGCACATGCTTCATGCTTATCACCCTACACCCCACATATCTGTTCTTATATTAATAGAGTCGACAATAAATCCAGCAAGTTCAAGTTGTTTGAAATTACATGTTTACAGAATTAAACATAAATATATAGCTCTGTGGAGATTTAGTTTCATATAAAAAGTGACAAAAATGTTCCAATCCCACAATAGAACCTGCTTGTTCAATAATTTGTACTTTAGATCATGGTCGAAAAGATGCATGTTGACCTCGTGAACCTCATTTAATAACTGACTATTATCAACCTACACATTAAGTCTGATTTCCATACATAAAACGGTAGCCTAGAAATATTCTCTGGAGGCCTACACTGTATTTAAAACTTAAGTTCATAATGAGGTCGCCATAAACAAACTATATATAGCACGAATAACTTGACCATAAAGAACCTTCACACCAGGTCTGAAGTCTTGATCTGTTCTTGAAATTTATAACACTATATTCTAGTACATTGTACTTAAGGTCAAGGTCAAAGATCAAATAGAGGTTACGTGACCTCATTTTAGTATGTGACACACCATCTTCTTGTAATGAATCTATATACAAAGTTTGATATTCAATAATGAAACAGTGGACTAGATCTGCTCAATAACCTCTGTCAGGAATAAAGGATGGAAAAAGCCAATACTATATACCTAATTGGTGTGCACTCTTGTAAATACCAGATTCCCAATTTGACCAGATCTAAATCTTCACACATATACAATAGCAATTAAGGACTATCTGGTCTTTTTATAGTTTAATCTCAACTGTACTCAAGAAGATTCTCGAAGCTGAAAACCCATAATCACTTGTGTGAATTATGACCTCGTCGAGTGGCTTAGTTATGTTTAAACACTTAGCTATTTACCTAGTTATCTCCATCCATGAATTCATAGGTCCATGAAGTAATTACAAGTTTGTTAAAAAGCAATACTTCGTATGAGTTTGTTCTTGTAATCCATAAAGTCATGTACCTACAGAATTGTGTTCTGTCAGGAAACCACAAAATGTAGGTCCCACAAAAATATCTGATTTCACAGTAAGTGTTATACTATATACATACCTTGGGGACATATACAGGCGACTTTTCCTCTCAGTTCACAATACCCCACACAGGCACCATTAAAACATCGACCTCTGGAACACATACATGGTAAAAAAACATTAATGTCTACACTGACCTGAAACACCGACCTCTGAACCACATACATGGTATAAAAACATTAATGTCTACACTGACCTGAAACACCGACCTCTGGAACACATACATGGTATAAAAACATTGATGTCTACACTGACCTGAAACACCGACCTCTG